ATCCTCACTCACTCTAGGCCCAGGTGAGCCTCCCCCGGGGCCCAAAGGGGGCCCAGCAGGGAGGTGGCAGTTCTGGTCCTTACTGAGGAAGACAGAGGCAAAGAAGTTATTAAATATGTTGGCTTTGTCGTCTGGCGTGACAACCAGATTCCCTGTCTTGTCCTGCAAGGGCCCCACATTTCCTGGGGCCTTCTTTCTTCTCCCTATGTACTTAAAAAAGGACTTCTTGTTGTCCTTAATCCAGGAAGCCAGCCCCTGTTCCAACTCTGCCTTGGCCTTCCTGAGTCATCAAATCTAGGTGCCCTCTGTTGCAGGCAATTAGGTTATATAAGGCTTTTGTAAACTGATTAAAGTGTTGGGGCATTTCTGTGATATCTTTTTTTTGACCAACTAAATATTTGGAAAAATTGTTCTTTGCAAGTTTTCAGACACAAACACAAGCTTTCAGGCACATCTTTTATTAGTTGGTTTAATAAAAGATATCATATCTACCCAAAGAAACTTATCTTCCTATATCCTTAGACCAACACGGCTACAACCAAAAACCTTAGGGGATTTCTAGGTAATTCAATAACAAAATTAAAAGATAAACATTACAAGTTAAATAATCTTTTCCAATTCACAAAATATATTTCAATTATGTTCTGAAGGGAGGTACCAATTGAGTCTCTCCCATTTAATTCAAACAAACACTGATCCCTTACATTTCCTCCAAAAAAAATCTATTTTAATACTCAGCTAACATTTTGGTAAACACTATTATCAGATACCCTATTGGACCAAAATCATAGAATGCTACAGAAATAGCATAACTGAAATACAATTATGAACCTCATCTCCATGGAGGTTGATCCTAAATCACAGCAAGTTTTTTTTTCCCCTAAAATTTAAGAGGAGGTAAAAACAAACTTTTTGCTTCAAACTCAGATGTTTTGGTTCTTTTTTTTTGCTGAAATCTTGGCCTTGTGGAAATCAATGAAAATTAAACTAGCCTGTCATAAGTCTATAATATGTCTATGATTTCTTTAGATGTGCACAAATACATACACTTTATTCTTAAAAAATGTATATATTATATAGCACACATTTTATAGAATACTTTTGCAGAAATATCATGAACATAACTCTTATGTATTGTAAATATTAATCGTGTAACTTGAGAGGGCGGAGCACAAGCCCTGGGTGCCAATGCAGCAGAGGCACCAGAATAGCAGCCCTCCGGGATTCTGCACTTTCACCACAGTCCAGGTTGGGGAAGCTTTCACTAAGGAAGCAGCAAATTGTACTGCTACTACCACTCTAGTCCCCACATGAGGAGGTAAGGGCTCACACATATATTCCTACATTGCCCTAGGTGCTAATATTTAAAGCTATACTTAAGTATGTACTTACTCTTTGGTTTTTTACAAATATATCCTATACCCTTTTTTCTGAGAACATGGAGCACTAATCCAGTACCCAAGTGATGCATATACTTCAATACAGTTCTCCTTATGATGTGTAAGTTTTTCTTTCTTCCAGTTGACAAAATCCACTAGAGTCTTGTCTCCCAATATCCTCTGGCCTAATATTAAAAACAAGTATGTGGATAATATGCCTGTTTAGACATAGTTAAAATGTCAAAATGCATTTTTGACAGATCCAGCATCATAGCTAGTAATAGAATTCTGCACTTTGATTTTAGTGTGTGTGCATGTGTGTGTTATAATTTTTTCACTTAATCACCAAACAAATTGTCACTGCTAGATCAACTCTACCATTCAGTAACATCTCTCATTCTATAATCTTCAGCCTTGTACAGTTCTGATAGCTGGCTTTAGATTATCTTTCCTGAAAATAAAGACTATACTCTCAAATCTTGTTTGCAAACTAAGAACTTAAAAAGCTAAAGTGATTAGCTTCTGATTAACAGATACTAATTGTCATTATTATTTCTGTCAAAGAAAATGTTTATTATAAAGAGGTGATCATTCTCTTCTAGTTCCTTTACTTATTTCCAGTATTTTATTCATCCTTCTCATTTTATTGTATTTTTCTCCTGAAATCCATACCTAACTATATATTAGTTATAATCAATTAACTAAACATCAACCATGTAAAATATTCTTCTCTAATTTCTTCTTAGAAAATTTTTACTTTCTGAAAAAGATCTGCCCAAACACTTTAATGACAGTGATGTACACAAACATAACAGCTTGAGAGAGTCCAGAGAAGAGCTACGTGCATGATCAGAGGTCAGGAAGACAGACCTTACGATGACAGGCTGAGAGCCATGGGGCTCTTTAGCCTAGAAAAGTGTAGGCTCGGGGGTGAGCTGATGGCCACCTATAAGTTTATCAGGGATGACCACCAGTATCTGGGGGAACATTTGTTCACCAGAGCGCCCCAAGGGATGACGAGGTTGAATGGTCATAAACTACTGCGAGACCGTTTCAGGCTGGACATAAGGAAGAATTTCTTTACCGTCCGAACCCCCAAGGTCTAGAACAGCCTGCCATCGGAGGTGGTTCAAGCACTTACATTGAACACCTTCAAGAGCAAATTGGATGCTTATCTTGCTGGTATCCTCTGACCCCAGCTGACTTCCTGCCCTTTGGGTGGGGGCTGGACTCGATTATCTTCCAAGGTCACTTCCAGCCCAAATATCTATGAAATCTATGAAGTCTATGAAATATAAACATAAACAAACAAACAAACAAATGAAAATGTGCAAGATTATCTCCCAATATCTGTCCTACATAGTAAAGATATATCTGAGATAATAGTCTAATATTAATTTCTTCATAACATGCAAGATCCGAAATGCGTACAACCTATTTTGCCTATTTATAGGCAATAGTATTACATCCTTAAATTAAGAAATTATCTTTCACATTATGGTACATTCCTATCCAAAAACTTTTTCTTTCTTTTTATGTGACTTTATACTATCTGGCAGAAAGATGAATTCAGCATGGTCTTCCACAGAAACCAAATTAGCACCTGAAAAGCATTAAGGAACAAGACACAATATAAGTTTCAGCCTGAAAAAATATCTTGCCTTTTTGAAGCATCATGATAGCATATATTCTTAAGTTTTATGGTTAATTTAAATCTTGAGAGGCACATTACTGATTTTGGCACAAAATACCCATTGTACTTACGTCAAACCCATTTGTGTGGGACCCCAGAGCCCTGAGTTTCTCCTTACTGTGCTGCCCCAAGGAATAGACCGACATTGGCTTGAGATAGCTCCCAATCTAAGCACCTCTGTTCCTCTGCCCTTATACTAGACTCTGCAGCTGCAGTGAGGAATCTCTGCCTGTCCTGGGTGGCCCCCACTCATAGGTTATGGGCCTCTCTCTGGGGAGTGGGTCAGCCTAGAATGTCACCTGCCCAGAAGTCAATCCTTTCATATGCAACAAACAAGGAGACAAACAGCAAAAGGATTTATTACATAGGATGAAAGACTACTGCAAACAAAACGGACTATAGGTTTGGAGATATAAATGGAAAACAAGTACAGATTTTTACCCTCTCATCTGGTTACTGCTAGCCTCCCCTGAACCCAGGCTAGCACTCTAAAAATCAGCATTCCTGCTGATTTTACCAGTCCTGATAACTGGCACCAGTGAACCCTCAAAGCCTGAGATGCAAAGACAAACAGTCTAGACTACATAGCTCTGCTATTCGCATAATTGTAACACTCATGAGCAGGGTGGATTGATTTAAATCAAGGTGATAATTTAAATCATGATTTGAATCAGCAAGAGAAAACCCTGATTTAAATCAAGTTTCCCAGTGATACTTCTTCATATATTTCTTAAAAAATGGTGCAAATCTAATCACTAAAACATGTTGATTTACAACTCAACACAACATTTTACAACATCTGTCCTTAAACACTTTTTTAATTTTCAAATTTTATTAACTCTAACAGACAAATCTGATAACACTAAACGTATGCTTTCCTTAAAACTTCTATAACTAGATCTCATCTTCCCCACTCCCACTATCATTGTTATTCATAGACTGAAACAGAAATAAAAGTTTTCCTGCTTTTTCAACTCCCAGTCAATTTCTTGGCTTTGAATGAATAATACCAAATGATGAAAATATTCTCTCTGTGCCTTCAGAGGAAGCTGTTGCTGTGAAAAGTTGGCTTAGCAACTGAAGGAACTCTGTGTTAAGGTGCCTGGCTAATGATTTCTATCAATTCAGGGGAATGACTGTTCAAAACATCATCAGTAAACATGTACTGTTTAAATGGTTCCCCTCCAGCCCTGAAATGTATTATGACTGACATAACCGAGGAGTGATTTTAAGATGCCCGTGCCATGGCAGCATAGTCTTCTACAGAAGTTAGGCATTTACCTTTATATCTGGGGTTGAGGATGTCCGCAAGAAAATGAGGTGGAGTTCAAACTTGATGCATTTGCTCTTTATTGCCTGTAGTTTAACTTTCTGGTGAGGTATTTCTTTCTTCAGTGTCTCTTGAAGTGCCTTCCAAATTTCAACAGCATCAGCAATGCAGCAACAATCTCTCTGAAGTTTGTTTAGGGTTATGGATATAGGCTTCAGTACACTGAGCATAGCCTCTACATTCCTCTTTAATCCAATGTAAATACTTTGGATGAGATTCTTCCCCCTATTTTACCACAGTTTTCTTCACAATTTTTTATGAGACTAGGCCAGTTCTTAATAAATTGTTCAAAACGATCAACCACAGAATTCCATCGAACATCTGAAGGGCAAATTAGTTTGGACCCTCCTGCTCTCTTCAGTGAGGCTGAAGCAAAATGGCTGTTACAAAAGTATTTTATGACTTCAACATTTTCTTTTATTCCTGGAGAAGTACTTAAGTCTTTGGCTAAAAGATGCATTAAATGGGCACTGCAGCCATATGTTATTAAGGAGCATTCTTCCGTTTCTTCTTCTAAGTAGCTTCTCATCTTTGTCACATTTATAGCATTGTCTGTGACAAAACTGCACACATGACAGTTGAATTTTTGTTCACAGTTTATAACAGCTTTCACTCCTTTTTCTTTTAAATATTCTGCTGTGTGGGCATTTCCCAATGTATCTATTGTTTCTGTAAGATATGCAATCCCATCTTCTGTTGTCACACAGGCACATATTACTGGATCATTGTGTACATTGCTCCACCCATCAAGGCTTAAACTGGCAAATTTCTCCTTAGTATTTCTTGCACACTGTTCAAGTTCCCTCTCATACGCTGTATCTAGCAACCTCCCACCAATGTCTGCTCTGCCAGGGGGAGTGTAGCCTGGTCATAGGACTCAACCACGTTAATGAAGTGTTTAGTGTTAACAATGCGAAAAGGAGAATTTGGGACATAAATGAACTAAGCAATCTTTTCATCTGTGATGTCTTCTTGGTATTTGCTGTTCCTTACTACAAACCCATCCATGGTGGTGATTTTACTGGATGATTGAAATCTTTTGCTTGCTACTGATACTTTGTTGTCTGAAATACGTTTAGTTACAGCACTGCTGCTAAAAGTACCCACGGATGACTCAGAAGTAGTTGCAGATAGACAGTCAAACTCTCTTATGTTTCAATGGGATCCTGAAACAAATATGATTCTTGAATAGTCATTCTTCTCAGTCCTTCTCACTCTATTATCCAGTTCATCCTTTACATGTTTTTCAGCAATGATGCAGCTCCAATTCCAAATTACCACAAAAGCTAAGACTGACTGCATTTAGAGTGCACTTAATTTTGAAGTAAGCCCCCTCGAACTCACTGGCACTTCTGTTTTTTGAGAAAACAAGGATAGGATGGGGTTCCTTTGGGAAAACTGAGTTATGATGAAGTAAAATAGGGGACTTACGGCATCACCATTATGGTCTGGGGCCATGATGTTCCAAAATAAGGGGCATGTATTATGGAATATAAAATAAGAAAATGACACCCAGTGGAAACTGGGAACTCTAGATTTCTCTTACTGCAGATTTCTGTACCATAAACTTGGGTGGTAGATTCTAAACCTAGTTAACTAATTAAACAAGCCATAAGGATTAGCGAAGCTAAACTTTTTTTTTCTAGCAACATTGAACATAGCAAACAGCTTGGGAATTTACTTGTTAAATCACACTTAAATTAAAAAGGCACAGAGAGTTTTGAAGAATGATGCAGTGCAAAGGGAATTATTTAATTTACTAACCAGTTGATCCATATTGTTCTTCAGACATATCCACATCTTCATCCACATCATTTTCTCCCAATAAGCAGTTTTTATGATGATATTTCATTCTTGCAACTAGGCTCTGAATCTCCTTCTTGCACTGCTTACACTTGACATGTTTTCCTTTTTTACCCAGGGAAGGAATTTCTTCAAAATATTCCCAGATAGGGTCTCATGCCCAGAAGCCAGGACAGTTTTTCTGTGGCAAATTGTGGTGGAATATAGGCAGCTGTGTGTGTACTACTGAATAATGTCTTCCCTTTTTCTTTGCAGTCCACTCCACTGTTCCTTTCTATTCTGCCTCCAACGTTTCCTATATTGTCTCTCTGTCTTTAACACAGTGTCTTAACTAACTCCTCCACGTTG